ATTTGCACCCGCGGACATTTGAACCCATGTATATTTACCACGGTACATTTGAACCCACGGACATTTGAACCCGCGTATATTTGAACCAACGTATATTATATTTGAACTCGCGTACATTTGAACCCGCGTACATTTGAACCCACGTACATTTTCACAAAAAATGTTTGCCCCAACGGCAATTTCCAGTCGCAAATAATTTTCATGTTACAGGCGCAAGCTCAATATTCTAAATTTCAACACTGTTTCACTTGTAGTTAGTTTTGGTGTATATGCATTTACCCGCTTCTACGAAGCAAGCATTTTTGAGTGTCATTGTAGTCCGAGGGATAAACGTCTCTTAACGATATAAACAACATTGTTCTGCCAAGGTCTTTTTTCTTTTGCTGTTTTTTTTACATTGACATTTGTAAATCCTTATCTCATTCGTTAGCCGCGATCTCCAAAACAGACGATGACCTAGAAAGCGGTATTTCGTTGAAATACCTGAAACCAGGGCTAATACGGAACAAATATCTCACAGACCAATGAAGTCTTAAATGAGGGTCTTACTAAAACTAGCTTTACAGTAATATTTTTAGTGGTCAACTCCTATAAATTTGTTCTGAAATTATTGCACCGAAAACGCCTACTATGATATCCCGCCCAGCATGAGATTTGGGAGCTCTGTGGCCACTTCATGTTTTCTTGCTAGCATGTTTACAAAATTGTTATATGTATGCATACACGACCACGCTTTACTGTTGAAAATGAGTGTTGTCTCAAATCAGGTTTTGCCATTTTTCCTAAAATCAATCTATAAATTGAATACTATTGTCTGTATATAAATAAATAAACGCACAGATTCTTCGTTTCTAAGAAAATATGAAATTAAGATAATGAAACTATGCCATTTTTGTAACAACATGTTCATAGCCAAATGCCAGTTTTATTGAAGTATTGTTTCATTAGAATGTCAGAACAAAACTATACATAGAAATCGTAAGTCATGTAAATATGTTGAATATTCGAAAGTGAAGAAGTTTTAAAATCATTATCGTGGCCAAAAATGGTTTTTGCTGTTTACACTATTTAGAGTAAATCGAACATATTCAGCATATAGGGTCTGTTAAATATGATATTGCAATTTACAAACGACGTCATAGGTTACGGATTACATTTATTTTAATATCTCAATAAAGTTATCACTCACAAATTTGTGTCGAATGGGCGATCAATTTTGAGATAGAGTAGCTATGGACGTTTTACAAAATAGGAATTTATCAATTATGATACAATAGTTAAACAACAAATCAAAATAATGACGATAAACGAAATTTTACGATATCACGATCAAAGTCAAAATCAAATAGACTGCATTTGAGCTATTGAGTGGAGATACCTCAGCTTGTCGGTTTCAGTTCCATATGAAAAAACTTTAACTGACAACCTAACAGCAAGTTGTACATACTTTGATCTTTGGTGGGCCGTAACTCCTACATGAGCATTTGCCGCAGTCAGTTTGTGGACCGCAATGTCTTTTCGTAGGCCATTCAGCAAACCCCATATACTCGGATGTTTGCATCGGAACATTCCTTGTAAGGCGTTGTGAAATCCTTCTACAGCGTTTGTTGTTCTTGGGGCCGAAGGCATCATTTCAATCTCTTTGGCATAGTTCCACAATCGAGGGGGAAATCTTGCTTCTCTTGGACGTGAACCCACTTGAGGTCCACGAATGTAGGTAGATTCAAAATATTGCAAAAGTTGATTGCATTCGGGCGAATCTTCGAAGGTGTCAAAGCAAGGGAAGACTTCGGCAACCTCGTTAATGGGAACAAAAGCCAGAGCTGCCAAACTTCTAATTTTCAGATTGAAAGAGGGTAAACATTCAAACTTCTCTTTTAATCCGATAGAACCAACTTTTCGAATTATAGCTTGTGACAGGTGAAAATAACATCCTTTAATATCGGCCAGAGGAAATTGTGCATGGAATGCATTGATAGCTGCTATTTCAAAATCAACAATGATTTTGGTGGGGTTAGCATTTGGGAAAATGATTTTCAACACTTCCAACATCTGAACGTATGTTTCTTGTCGCTTGTCTCGTAATAGGAAATATACGCATGGTGGATAGGATGCGCCCACTTTACAGTGAATTGTATACAACTGGAAGAAAATATCGGGCACCACATCAAATGTACCGTCGCCAAGATATGTGTCACTATCTAGATGTGCAAGTAGTGATCGATCTCCAATGGCCATTATCCGATGACGATCCTCCGGGCCAGTGTCATGCAAAATGATATCTAAATATTCGCTCGGAATTATCAAAGCTTGCACTTGTAGGATTCGTACGTGAAACAATTTTTTCTGTCGCCTTACTCTGCGTATATTGGCCTCCAGAGTCGACTTGCCTGGCAAGCGCATTAGTACATCTGTTGATCTATTATTCAATACTTCACCTAAAATATATCTTGTCGATGTATTTGATGGTGGTGATGCTGCTTCTTTTAATGTTGCACGGATGATCCCAACTTCAGTCTTAATGCTGTCGCCAGAATGACTGTGATATCCTAGTTCTTTTATTACATTTTCACCGATCGTAACAACAGTCCGATATACATCGAAATTTCCTAAACTGACGGCAGCGCCAATGAGTAGCATCTGAAACCCGATCATTTCGCTCACAATATTCGTGGGTTTTGTAAATCAGTAAGTCGTTTCCTCTTGTGGTCTTGGAAAATGTAGGCGCCATGTTTCCAACTTATTTTCGCAAAGGGACTTGTCATATTCGCAGCTGCAACGTCCTGGAGAAACAGTTTGAAATTGTCTGCGAGGGAAAAAGGGCATTGATGCGAGGAAAAACTTTGCGCGGGATCGAACTATCTGCGAGGGGAAAAGGGCATTGATGCGAGGAAAAACTTTGCGCGGGATCGAACTAACACATCAATTAAAATCCTTGCTCGCGCTCTTCAAGAGTCGTCGACCGTTCAAAGCACAAATCATACTCCCCAATTTTGGCTCGCATTCTACAGCGGAACATTTTGTCCATTGAGTCTTATGATATCGAAAATTGCGATGACAATGACAGACGGAGTATAATATAAATATATAATATAATTTAAATATATAGAAAATAGTTGTAATAAAGCCTTCGAGTATATAATCGAGAATTCCATGGTAATATTGATTGTTTTCGCAACGTATGCACTTGGAGAAAGAATCCTAAGTGTACCTTCCAATCCTATATACTATAGTATATAGCATGGAAGGATAAGGGTGTATATGTAAAGACGCCAATATCGTAAATGCAAATGCCATGGGTGTAGATGTTCATGGGTGCAAATGTCTGTGGGTACAATTGTACGCGGGTGTAAAAGTACGCGGGTGTAAATATATGTAGGTTCAAATGTCCACGGGTGCAAATGTACATGGGTTTAAATGTCCGCGAGTGCAAATGTACGTGGGTTCAAATGTACATGGGTTCAAATGTACGCGGGTGCAAATGTTACACGGGTTCAAATGTACGCGGGTGCAAACGTAACACGGGTTCAAATGTCCGCGGGTGCAAATGTACATGGGTTCAAATGTACGCGGGTGCAAACGTACACGGGTTCAAATGTCCGCGGGTTCAATCTATATGCGGGTGCTAAAATCCACGGGTGGAAATGTATGGGTTCAAATGTCCGTAGGTGCAAATGTCCATAGGTGCAATAGTATACAGGTGCAATTGTCCTGGGTTCAAATTACGGGTTCAGATGTACGGGTTCAAATGTACGTAGGTTCAAATGTGCTGTCACCGGAAAAACAATCACAAAGGCCATAATCTACATTATATAATCGTTCTAATGTCAAAACAGAAAGTCAAGGTCGCTAAACAATTTCAACTTATTTACAAATTACAACGAAACGAGCGCCATTCTCTGCAAAAGTGAAGCGCTATCTAAAGCAAATTACCGAAACTATCCCTGTCTAAGCGAGACATGTCTGGGCCAAAGCGTATATATAATATGGGCAAGCAATTGCCACGACTCTCTCAATTGTTTCGTAACAAAGTGTGTGGAAGCACACTGTCAGTCTGTCACTCAAGGGAAATTACGGCGTCAACAATAACAAATAAATTACTACACAAGTTAAACGGACGCAATGTTTAAGTCAATACAAAAATCAAGTGAATGCGATTCTCGACGTAACAAGCAGTACAAATATTTACACATAGAACCGTGAGTAATGGTGTTGCTGATGTTATGTGTCCGCCATTTGGTTTGGGCGAAGAAATTACTATACAGTAGGCATCGAAACAACGTCACATTATGACCTCCCGTTAAACGACATCGCCGGTACGTTATTGTACGAAAACCTAAAATTATTCTTGGCTGCGCAAGTCATGAGCTAAGATTTGTACGCCCAATGCAGAGAATGCATTGATATAACGCTGAACTTGTACACGACGTTATTCTATCATTGAGTTGTGGGAAGGTTACATTTTTGATGGCATTCACGTGCGCGTTTACTACACAAATATAAACAGACAAATATAATGGAATTGCTGGATACTTTGTACTAAGCTCCCGTCGCTGTTGCAAGAATGTGTGATCTGAGATAAACACCCTGTCACGTTTCAAAATAAAAAATAAGTAATTATGCAGTTAGGGTTTTAAGTTAGGAACGATTTGAAATCTTGAGTTTCCGGCTGAATCTACATCCCTCACCTTACCTGAATAATTACTATTTCTATTTAATTCAAGCGTTGGCGGGGTGTTGTTTTGGGGTGGGGCTTGGTACAAAATATCCTGAGAATATTACTGTGAACTAGGTATTATACGGTGTATGAAGCAAATCCCAACCGTCATTTGCATTCTGCATCTTTGAGATCACGCGTCAGAAGCGTGATCGGGTCCTAACGACAACCTGGAGTAATTATTAAAGTAATCAGAAACAATCAGTTAGCTTTTTTCGTCAAATATTTTTGCGCGGGAAGCCACAAGCGAAATCGCTTCTAGTCAGTCACAAATGTTCGTGGCAAGATTATTTTGTGTAGGATGTATGGATAGGCTGACTGTGGGTTATGACAGTGAGTTCGAAACAATATTCAGGTGAGCTAAATGTTCTTTATACCTATTGTTTTCATTGCTATTATATTGCTAGTATTTTACTATTATATAAGTGGTAAATTAGATGTTTTCGGGCCTATACGAATTGGAATTATTGCCCAAATACAGAAGTGTAGATTGATGGATGATTCTCTTTTGTATCGAACTCACTAACATCGGGTTCCATCGTTCCCTCAGAAATAGGCCAAACTTAAATGCTATATGGCAATACATAAACTTATCATATTAAGAAAGTTAAACGTAATGCACTGAACTACGTAAGCTGCATTCAACATGGTACGCTTTACATGAATGTAATGCGTAACTTTCAAAACTTTTGCAAATGTAGTGCAAAATCCATGGTTTAATAGAGATTCGCCGTAGCCTTTTTACTTTGATATATTATTGTGTATAGATTGGATCTTTGTACAAAGACCCTACCAACGTTCAAAATAAGAGAATTAGTAATTATCCTGTTTAAGTTAGGAATGCAGATTGCGCTGGAAATTCGAATTTTTAAATCATTTCTAACCCCAAATGGATAATTACTAATATGTCATTTTAAAACGTGGCGGGAGCTTTGTGCAAAAGATCCGATAGATTCAGTCCCGCTATTCACTGAATATGCTAGCTACAGTTCTGCGATAGTTTATTTATCAATATCTTAACTTTTTTTCAGGTGCAGAAGTATTAGAGGTAAAGATTCAAAGACACAAAGTAACGAACGGGGAATATTACAAGTAAATATTATTTAAACATTTTATTTGACTTTCGACACCTAATGATTCCTGTACACCACTGTTTTTGTTTAAAATGCTAAACAATTCGACGCGAGCGCACCGCGTCTCGCGTCTTGCGATCAGCGTCAGCATTGTTATGCCACTCATTTGATCTTGTGTTTTCTCTCGAAATTGTAAGATTTAGATTTTGCACAAGTTTTAATAATTGTATTTCGAAGCAGAAGTCCAAAAAAGTACTATAAATATATTTCCTTGTATTAAACTGGTGTACTCTTTGCGATCCCTAAAATTTGTTGCGCGCTTCCCTGCTGGATATCGATCCCCAGTTTGCGAACCCAACCGTGAACAATGGGATAATGCTTCAAATTACTGATCAGAGGTAATTAGTCATATACACCACGAAACAGTTATAAAACGACAATGGGTATTTTATTGTTATTTTTATATTTACAATTTGTGCAGTTGAAAACTACACCTGATATGTTATAAAGTATATATTTGAAATTTATTGGCAATCGCTGAAGAATTTTTATTCGTCCGAATTTTCTAAGTTTTGGATTTTATGAAAATAAATATCGAAATTTACCCGTTACGTATTTTATTAAAACTTACGAAATTTTTAAAGAAAATATTCAGAAAAGAGTCTTACTTTAAGAATACAAAATGAGGTACAATATAATACACTAACATATCATTTTAACTAACTATCATTTTAACATAAGCATAGCTTTGCAGTGTCTCTGTCAAATAACATTTGTGTAAATTAACTACCTGAAAATGCCATAGTTGACTCAACGAAATTTAGTTCAATTCAAATTTAGAATTGGCTTACACCAAATCACGACATATACATTGATTTTCAGCGTTTTCATTGCACCAAAAGAAATTCGTCAAGTGTCAGGTTTTCATCACTGAGTGAGATGGAGGCCTATCAAGTCTGAAGAGCAAGTATGTAACCAAATCATTCGAAATCTTTCAATTTACATGTCTATAAATAAATGATATATTGTATTTTTTTCGGGAAATATACAGACAAATTATTGCTTTTCATATATTGAGTATAAGCTTAGTATTTGTTTCGTCTGTCAAATGAAATTTCCTATAAATTACAACCTCAAAATTTCATAATAACATGATTCGCACAACTACCGTTTTATTCTGGCTATTGAGTCGGCCCAGTGAATCAGGCGGGGGTCATTTTTTAGAAATGAAATTAGGCTTTTTTCGTTCCCGCCCAATAGTCGAGACACAATATTGCATTGCATTATATATGTAGTATATTATATATGTAGTATATAGTATAATGGCCGTTTCTGTCGCACAATATTCAGTCCATGACAACGACAGGAATTTAAAATGTCTTTCTGTTTTAATTTAATTGTGTTCGTGGTAACTCGCGACTGCGTCGACTTACGACAAGATGATAGTTTTGTACATATTTTTTGCGATCTTGCGAATTTGTTATCGCCGTTAGTAAAATCCTGCTTTCTGCTATAAAGTTCCGGAAAGTACAACTTGATTTAGCACTTATAAAAATATATTGAAAAGTTTATTAGTAAATCAAAAACACATATTCATGGCCTTGGCTTTACTATTAAGTTAATTGTGATGATTTCAATCTGCAATTGTACTGACGAAATAAAAGCAATTCTACTCAGAAAATAAGTGCCCGATTATATTTTGTTTTGATACGTATTTTTGTGAATTCGACAAATCTGAGTTGTTCGTACAACACCTACGGCGCTCCAGTACTATGCGTACCAATGTGGAGACAGTAAGGCAAAGAATCCTAAAAAAAAAATGCCCTGGTGCGTACGTATACTACGGTAGAATCCAAACTTTGCGATTTGTAATGTCTAAAAAAGCGTTTTTAATCGGTCGCGGACAATCATAAAACAAAACTTATGTTATTATCCGTATTATTTTTAGTATTTTGTATTGCCGCTTTTTAATTTAGAAAATTTGGGTTGCCACCATTGACACCTACCAGAAAAAAAGTTATTCCTCGTTGTTCGAACTCGCGAACTCTATCGAAGGTGTGTTTTCGTCGGAAATCCGCAAGTGAGTTGTGAAATCCAATCGTTTGATTAAGAGACGCGTCACCTGTCACCAAATTTTCGAATAGTAAATTGCTATTTTAATAGTTGATTATTCGAATATATGCCAAGTTCTACTCATTGACCAGTAATTATTGACTCGAATAGTGTTATGTGAATAAACTTGCCTTTATGTTTTATGTAAATTCTAATGTAAATCGTAACTTGGCTGATAGTTAAGTTTCGCAAAAACGTTTGCGGCTCGCAGTAAATTTATTGCTCGTTGCGGACTCATTCAAACGCTCCGCGGACTCATTTGAGATTTTGCTCCGCGGACACATTTGAGACCGCGGACTCGGGTTGGGAAACACTGATCTAAAGTATAAGCATAGCTTCTCTGTGCTCCTGTCAAATTACATTTTCTGTTCAATTCAAATCATTATTATACAAAATTTACCTGCATTTCATTATCTTATATAAATTTCAGCTTTCTGAAACACTTCTTGAAAGCGGAAAAGACAATTCATTATTATATCTAAAGACGTGCGAAGTTATTTGTCCGATTATGCATCACTGTGAGAGGTGGCTGCTTCGAGTCTAAAGAGCAAGTATGTTATCAAATTCTTTTGAATCTTCCTAATCTACACTCGTCACCATTATTCACGGATACCCACAATAAATTTTGAAATTTTTATCTATTACTATTCCTAAGTGAGTTGAAATTACTTTACCTAATTTAAATGCTAAAATTTTTAATGGGGTTAATACCAGACATAAATAAATCTGAATTTTATAGATAAATTAAATATATTAAGGCTGTAGACTTAAAAAAACATATCAAATTTGGGGTCGAACACGCTTTTGGTGTTCTTAGAATACTGAAAAAGTCCTAATAACCTACGCGATGGCATTTTGGTAGAATCGCCGATAGTTTTCGTCAGCGTGACGTGTTTTTATTAAAACCCCTCTTACAGCGGCTAAGCTCATATGAGAGAATATTTACGCTTAATTTTGTGCTCGGTAAACTACTGTTAGTATCGCTCTTAGCTCTTTGTTGACGTTATCGCCTGATATGAGAGAAGCGATGGAACCTTCCAGCCGTGACGCAAAGTGCGAATTCTATAAATAGCGTGGATTTCAAAATCGCCTGTCAGACGTCTGAAAATGTCGACTTAGCTCAGACAGGAAATACTCCTTTATGAATGACTTATTGTTGGTTTAGCATGTATTTTCAGTCATATATACTATCCCTGACCATCCCTGGCGCTGTGTTGTTTTGATAAATATGATTTCGACTGCTCCATAGTTGGCAGAAGTATGGAGATTTTTTTGTAGTTAAAAAAAACGTAAAATTAATGGTAATTTTAACGCGTAAATGCGCTTATGGGATTGTTTACGCCGTTCTACGCGCATTTCCGTCGAAAAAATTTATTTTTTTTGCGTTGGGGGTGGTCTGTGCAGTAATAATAAGAGCTGTGACGTCATCAAAATCAGTAATTTTAGCCTTGAACTTGATACACCTGTAAATACAATTGTGATTTTCAGAGTAATAACCATTTATGCTATAATAGGCGTTTCGGTAATGTTGTGTTAGGAAAAACACAACTGCCTCTACTGTACACAGAATTTCTCAAGGTCAATTTTTTTTTAGAAGTTTTTGAGATATTTTTGCAAAAAAATTTTTTTTCGGAGTGTGTTTCAAAGATATATTGCTGAATAGAATTCTAGCACACGCTTTTAAAAATCCATAAGAGAAGCTTTAGGGCTTAGTGGTTGACAAATAAAATAACTTTAAAAATACTATGTCAAATAAATTAGGTCAATAGCGCCGAGAAGGAACAACTTATGTGCTTATTCTCTCTGAATCACCATTTTTTTCTGGCACATGCCTGTATTGTTTTACAATCTACGAGGACGACGATAACTTGTTTTTCTTGTGCGAAACTAAGAGTTCAGTGTGCGAAACAAGTTAGAATACTATATAATAAAAATCGGTGAAGAGAAGCTGAGAATAAATGATAAAGAGGTGAATCCGCAACCCAATTTTTTGATTGAAAAGCGGCATTATAACATATCAAAACTAAATTCTAAAACGGAAGATTCCACCATAAGTTTTGTTTTAGCAGTCTCGTAGCAGATTGAAAACGCTTTTTAGACATTGTAAATTTGTGTTATGTTAGGATTTCTATAAAATGTGTACAACCATACAATATAGTAACTGAAATCGAAACACAGCAAATTGTTCGCGCGATGTACCTTTTGTCTATTTTAAAACTACCGATGGAGCCCAATACTTCTTTTTCTCGGTATGTGACGATATTATATAAGATAATTAATGCAAAATATATCAACAATTTTTTTTTCCAATATTGGAAATTACAATCGTTCGTATTTTGTCCCTATCTTTAAAATAATTTTGAGTGCCGAAAAAACAAATCAAATTTGACTAACCTCAAAATATGATTCCGGTCTCCTTATAGTTGGCAGTTTGGGACGTATTATATGCAGTTTTTAAATAGTGATTTTTCATTTTTATAATCGTAAAAGTTTTCTAGACTAAAATTCGAGTAACGAGAACACCATTAAATTACTATGAAATTACTATCACAAGCCATTTTGGAAATGCTTGCACCGGGTATGAGTTGAATATTTTACTCGAGAAAAAACTGTTTATGCACTGCGATCCTACATATAGATAATGTCACATTTGAAAATACGCTCGTTGTCATATTTCGACGCTACTGCTGTCAAATTTTATTAATGATGTTATTACTTCTTTTGACAGTCACAAAATTAGCAAAGTCATTATTTTAATAAGTAATCGATTGGCTCGCGGAGCCCCTAAGTTTCTCTCACCGAGCATTTTGAGAACCTCTGCACTAATAGACCAAGAGAGAAATTTTCGTCAGAGTGTTTGAAGTATCGTTGACTCGTTGTACATGTTTATTAGCTGAGTTTTAGGCATAATATTGACAATTTTAGCATATCTTTGAAAATTAGCTGTTTGCATCTACACTCCAGCGTACCATATTGAAAAACCTTGTTTTTGTCATATTACCGCCCAATAGTCGGGTTAAAAATTGCATTACTTTGTTCCAAATTTTGTCAGGTTTTTGTCATTCCTGAGAAGGAACTTTTTCCCTTGTTTGCAGAAATGCTGTTAGTTTAGGCACCAATGCGCGCTCATAATTTTATATGGCAGTCTTTTAGAACCCGACCCGTGTTCATTTCTTCGTCGGCATGAAACTTAATATTCTACCCAAAAAAACGGTAATTTAGCATTAAAAAGGTATCAGCAATTATTCACTAGGGCAATGGTTTTCAAACGGTGGGGCGCGCCTCGCAAAATGGGCGTAGACAATTTTTGAGGGGGCATGTAGATAATCAAATCTATTTTTTGTTTGGTGGACATAATCGTGCATTTTTTGGATATTTACATTCCATCCTCGTATTTTCAAAGTATTTTTGAATGAAACATACCATTTGTTACTTGTAGCTTATTGCTAGCTAGGTATTTTTAAAGTGTGGCGAGCATTCTCATAACAAGAGTTTTACATTGTAATCACCTCAACTCTTAAAAATATTTTCATAGCTTTACTATACTTATGGAATGTTTTTTTCCTTCTTGAGATATAAGTACCAGTACCAGTTATTGATTTCTCCTTGAACCCTTCCTACAAACGTCTAGCTAACTGCTAGAACAGCATTGTATCAATAATAATATATAGGAGAAATTAATTCTAAAACATGACAACTCATTTCTATGTATGATGAAAATGATACAATTGTTGCGGATCAAGGATGTCTATATATTCCTGTGTCCATATTTATACGTATACTGCCTTCTTCATTGATAGCATAGTCATCATTATCCTGCATTGGATTCATTGATTTAATTTTATGAGCCAATCTGGCTAATCTCATTTGTAATTTGAAATTATCCATGGTCTATGACAGGGCTACTCAACTATTTTTGTCGAAGATCCGCATACAAAACTTAAAAAATATTTGGGTCCGGTCTTTCCAGAAATTATATTCCTTATCCTTAAACACGCACTTCCTCGGCCGACTAATGATTATTAGCTAATCAAGATTGTTTATTATGGCGTTATATTTCTTTTCGTATATATTTAATTCTATAAAAGTGATTTTATAAAAGGAAACTTCAAAAGTGGGGCTAATGATTCAAAATAAAGAATTAGGCGCGGTCCGAATCGAATACCCGAAAAGTCCGGATTCGGACCGCGGTCCGCCAGTTTAGTAGCCCTGGTTTATGACCATGGTACTAACCAGACTGTGCCATTCGTGTTCCAAGCCAGAATTACATTAGCTTATTATAATAACGATGTTATATAAGTACGTCCAACCGAGTGTATCAATGTGAAGTCTATACCATTTGGCACTGGTTAACCACGGCATGCAAGCCCCAAACTAAAATATCGCTTCTAGTGGCGATACTGTAACGCAGTGGTTCTCAAACTTCTTCGTATTGTGGCGGCCTCCAAAAAATATGCTCAAGTTGCGACACCTCGTGAAAACCGCCTTAATACATTTCAATAAAGGACCTTCTTTGCAATGAGTTTTCAAAGTCAGTGAAATTGCATTTAACCACTTTTTACAATTGTCTCTGAACCTTGGTAAGAATTGTGAGAGCCGCACGCATTCCCCTCTCAACATTTACTCGAGATCGATATTGTGTGTATTACGGCCATGGTCGAAAGACCTGCTTCACATGAATACGAAGTTCCAAATGGGACCATAGTGCACAACGCATTTTTTACCAAGGAAGGATAATCCTTATTGAAGGAATTCCAATAACTCGTTACATTTTCAGAATTAAAATTTCTTTTTAAAAATCCAAAAACGGCGAAGAAAAGCAGCAATGTATTGTTGATGCAAGATTTCGGCCAGTGAAATATGTTATCTAATAAGCCCAAACGGCATTTAGTAACATTGCATTCCCAGTTGCAACAAAAACCACGGAGCTTTTCTACTTGAACGATCCAAAGTCAATCAAGCCTTTGTCATACTTGCGTTTTTGGACTTCTTGTATAGTATCGTTTCCACGCTTGTTATATTACTTTCCTATGCGCCCAAAAGAGATTCCGCAAGAAAGAAAAAAAAAATTCACGACGCCCAATGCACTTTGAGAACCACTGCTGTAACGTATCAGTATAGCTGTAAATCCTATTGGTATAGTCCGTCCATGTTCATAATTGTCTGCATTTAGAAATACATTTCCTATTGCTATATCGTTGATTGCTGGTACTAATATGCATCTATATAAAATGATAAAATAGAATAAATACACGGGTTTTACGGATACAACCATGTCTATATTTCTTATGTTTTGTTTATACAGGTATTACGTTATTGATAAAATGGTCCTTATTATTCTGTGTAGAATTTACTTGTTTAATCTTATGAGCAAAACTTTGCCGCAAAATAGTATGATACTATAAAAAAGAACCGACTAAGCTCAGAAATGTAACTGTAAATTATCATGGTTTCCCAAACTTTTTAGTCGCAGTAATATATACAGTAAAATATACAACTTCATTCATAAATCATAGTTTATAGTGTTTTCAATGAGATATATTATCTCAGTGATCTTCCAGAGATATTTTTTTTAATTTTTAGTGACATTTTCGTCAGCCACAATCTCAAATCACCTCGTTTACTAATCGACTGGCAATTTCTTTGTTTGGATAGCACTTGTTGGATAGCATAGTAAATGAAGGAATCCAGGTTTCTGCCTTATGCCTTTTTTGCATGGTTTGTCAAATTATGAGAGATTTTCATTAAAAAGCATCTTTACAAAAATCACGCATTGATGCATCTTTATAAAAATCAGGCATTGATGCATCTCTTGAATATAACATGTGAATTTTATTTCCTTATTTCATTGCATTTCAAGAAGCATTGTAAAGGAGCATTCAAATATTTTCAACGATATTGAACCCCTGCACAGTGGACTCAGCATCAACTTTTTTGCGTGCTATCATTCGTCTAATTATATTTAAATTGTAGGCTCGTTAAACGATTAACTGGTTTATACCACCTGGTAGTAAACAGTTAAAAAGCATGCCATTCATGTTCCGATCCAGAATCGCAATAAATTTTCAATACTGATAATATTGGAGTGAGTCTAATCAAGTACATTAATATAACCGTTGATCTTACTACCTTCGGTGCTGGTTAACCATGCACTTCGTGTCCCAAACTGAAATTTTCAATAAAGATAATATATAAATTAGGCCAATTGCACCAATGTAGACGTAAATCCCCTACGCCCGACTTATACTTCCCTTGGTAGTCCCAGTAACCAATAACCATACGTTTCATGTTGATATGTGTTCGAAGCTGGCAATCCTTGTTACTCCCAGTAACCATACAATTCAGGTTAATAAGAGTTCAATGCTAGCAATCCTTGGTAATCCAAGTAACCATACGATTCATATTGATAAGTGTTCGAAGCTGGCAATCCTTGGTAATCCGAGTAACCATACGACTCGTACTGATAAGTGTTCGAAGCTGGCAATCCTTGGTAGTCCAAGTAACCATACAGTTCATATTGATAAGTGTTCGAAGCTGGCAATCCTTGGTAGTCCAAGTAATCATACGGTTCATATTGATAAGTGTTCGAAGCTGGCAATCCTTGGTAATCCGAGTAACCATACGACTCATACTGATAAGTGTTCGAAGCTGGCAATCCTTGGTAGTCCAAGTAATCATACAGTTCATATTGATAAGTGTTCGAAGCTGGCAATCCTTGGTAATCCGAGTAACCATACGACTCATATTGATAAGTGTTCGAAGCTGGCAATCCTTGGTAGTCCAAGTAACCATACAGTTCATATTGATAAGTGTTCGAAGCTGGCAATCCTTGGTAGTCCAAGTAACCATACGGTTCATATTGATAAGTGTTCGAAGCTGGCAATCCTTGGTAGTCCAAGTAATCATACGGTTCATATTGATAAGTGTTCAAAGCTGACGATTCTTGTTAGTCCAAGTAACCATACGGTTCATATTGATAAGTGTTCGAAGCTGGCAATCCTTGGTAGTCCAAGTAACCATACAGTTCATATTGATAAGTGTTCGAAGCTGGCAATCCTTGGTAGTCCAAGTAATCATACGGTTCATATTGATAAGTGTTCAAAGCTGACGATTCTTGTTAGTCCAAGTAACCATACGGTTCATATCGATAAGTGTTCGAAGCTGGCAATTCTTGTTAGTCCAAGTAACCATACGGTTCATATTGATAAGTGTTCAAAGGTGGCAATTCTTGTTAGTCCAAATAACCATACGATTCATATCGATAAGTGTTCAAAGCTGACAATTTTTGTTAGTCCAAGTAAACATACGGTTCCTATTGATAAGTGTTCAAAGCTGGCAATTCTTGTTAGTCCAAGTAACCATACGGTTCATATTGATAAGTGTTCAAAGCTGGCAATTCTTGTTAGTCCAAGTAACCATACTGTTCCTATTGATAAGTGTTCAAAGCTGGCAATTCCTGTTAGTCCAAGTAACCATACGGTTCCTATTGATAAGTGTTCAAAGCTGGCAATTCTTGTTAGTCCAAGTAACCATACGGTTCATATTGATAAGTGTTCAAAGCTGGCAATTCTTGTTAGTCCAAGTAACCATACGGTTCATATTGATAAGTGTTCAAAGCTGGCAATTCCTGTTAGTCCAAGTAACCATACGGTTCCTATTGATAAGTGTTCAAAGCTGGCAATTCTTGTTAGTCCAAGTAACCATACGGTTCCTATTGATAAGTGTTCAAAGCTGGCAATTCTTGTTAGTCCAAGTAACCATACGGTTCATATTGATAAGTGTTCAAAGCTGGCAATTCTTGTTAGTCCAAGTAACCATTCGGTTCATATTGATAAGTTCATATTGATAAGTGTTCAAAGCTGGCAATTACTGTTAGTCCAAGTAACCATACAGTTCATATTGATCGCGTAACAGCGCGTATTAGAATGTTTGCGACTTGGCAGAGGTATCGAGATTTTTTTAAACGTGAAAAAAACGTAAAATTAATGGTAATTTTCACGCGTAACAGCGCGTATTAGAATGTTTGCGGCTTTCTACGCGCATTTCCGTCGGAAAAAGTATAATTTTTTGCATCGAGGGGGCGTGTGCACTAATAATTAGAGATGTGGCGTCATCAAAATCGTCAATTTAAGCCTTGAACCTAGAAATTCTGTAAATACAATCGTGAATGTTAGAGTAACCATTCTTGCTATAATAGTGGTTTTGGTGTTGTTCTGTCGGAAAATAACACAAGTCGGAAAATAACACGTTGAAATAAAAATTAATTTATTAGGAATAATTATTAACCCTATACTAGACACAAAATTTCGCAAGTTCAATAGAAATTTTGAAATTTTAGCGTAAAATTTTTTTTTTAGATGAGTGCGTTTTACATATATTGCTGAATAGAGCTCTATCACACGCTAATAAAAAGCCATGAGTGAAGCTTTAGGGCCTAATGGTTGACAAAAAAAATAACCCATGTAAAATGGCACCAGACCGACCGGTTGGGGAGGGTTAAAACACCATTAATATTATTTAAAGTTGGAATAGGCATAATAATACTGAATATTACGACTCCTAACATGTCTAACTTCGTTACAAGCACAGTCCTTGTCATTCTGTATACCATATCATATACCCTTTTTTTATTAATCTTGAAAATCGTTTTCACCACAAATGGTAAGTCACGCGAAGTACCATACTATGTATGTGGATCTGACAGAGGGTAGTAATGTAGTTGTTAACCCCCTTGTCTGTTAATACCCTTATTGATATTCTGTTGAGCGTTGGAAGTTGAATTGTATTTCAAATAACAATAACATATAAGTGTATTAATATAACCTTAAATCTCACACCCAGTGGTACATTCAACCATATGGTTCGTGTCCTAAAATTAAATTTCCTATAGTTTACTATAGCCGTAAATACCTTATAACTAGTATAGACCTTCATTGGTAGTGTTTCTAGAACCCATGCTTTCATGTCCACAAGTTTTCAAATCTAGAAATATATTCCCTATTTCTTCATAGTTTATTTCGAGTATTAATATGTTATGTTCTTATAATGAATGTATAATATCTACAATCCCTGTGGGTAATGTAACTTGGTAATGTAATGTAACCGTTTGAAAACCACTGTACTAGTAAATAATTGACTTGTCAATATTTATATGATATACAATATATTGCACTGACAGATCATTCAAATTAAGTACAAATTGTAATTTTTGTGGAAATCAGCAAATAATTTTATAATAAACGAAAAATTATTAATTTATTTTTTATACTTCTAGTATAAGCTTAGCTTCTCTGTGTCCCTGTTATGTACAATTCCAAAGATTGATAATGATATAGTTCGAACAACTATATCTCTTCTCTGTATTTCTGTCAAATAGCATCTTCTGTGATTCAAATAACTTGATAGTGTCTTAAGTCAACGAAATTTTGTTTCACCTAAAGTTAGATAGACTCGGTATACACATGATCATGACATTAAATTGATTTTTTTTTATGTATTTTAATATAATGTTACTTTTGCTTCACCTCTACCAAACAGCATTTTTTGTGATCTATAAATCCAATACTTGATAATGAAACTATATATTTATTTTCAGTTTTCTAAAACACTACTTGAAAGAGTCATTGTATCAAACGGAATCGACATTGTTAATAGTCTGGTGCATCACGGAGTGAGATGGAAGCCTATATAGTCTAAAGAGTAAAGAGCAAGTATGTAATCTTTTAAATCTTTCAATTCATATTTTGTCAGGTATAAACTGATACATATATCATGTTAAATCCCGCTAGTCAGGAAGAGCTGCAAATATTTGAATTATCCTCACAAGATGTCCAAAATATTTCGCCCAATTTTATTGATATAATTTCGTGAAGTCATGTAATGCAATTGTTTCCACACGCTAGTTCATGGGCAGGTGTTCAGTTTTTTTTTTATGCTATAAATTTTGTTGCTTTGTTAATTTCGTATACCTAATTTCTGAAAATACGCGGTTTATGTTTCTTATCGGGCGTTCAGCTATCGATGGCATGTATCGAAGTATGTATGTGCCAGTCGCCAGCAATGAAGGGTTATAATACTGTCAATGGGGCATTTGCGGTTGCATTCAATTGGTCGGGCCTCATTTTATAGTATTTGTTATATTCATATTTTATGGGTTTAGTTTCTTCGCCATAGCGTTTTGTTAGTTTTTCAATAGTCTAGAACAGTAGTTTCAACCAGGGTTCAATCGAGTTTTTGGTGTTCGTTGGAGCTGTTCCAGGGTTTCGACGAGGGTCCTTTAAATTAAAACAGTTTTTTATTATGGCACTTTTCTATCACATCGTTCTCGAATTATGCAAATTTAATTAGAGTTCATCTCAGATATTTAAACTTACACGTTCAACAACTAATAAATTAGCTTTGCTATTTGTATAGTGTGCGCAGTTGTACGTTTTAGTGAACCCGTTATCTCCACGGATGTCGCGCGCTTGGGTGTTTGTGTTTATATGATAGTGCTCTTAGATGCTTTTTGCTTATGACTTTGAAACATCTTGGACTGTCATGAAAAACCTAGGATTTTCAAGATGAATCTTTTCATTTTCCATAACCTTGCACGAAATTAGGCTTCCCCTTTATAAAGTTAGGATTGGGCTCCTAATTTCAACTGTTCGGTACAATGTGGTTTGGCGAGAGCTTTCAGGATAGCGCATGGGTTCGACAGGCTCGGAAAGGTTAAGGTTAACTAGAATTTGAAAAATCACACAACGTTACGTAGTATTATTTTTTTCGATGTTGCCATTTTGCGAGAGTAAAAACAGACAGGTACAAATAGATTTGCTGAAATATATATCCAATTCATATCGAATTATATTTTCTGTTATTTATAAATCCAAAACTTGACATAGTTCATATAGTTCACATAATGACATAGTTCGAAAAATTACTGGTACATTCAAATTTTCTCCCCCAAGTCGAAATTAAATCGAAATAATTAAATATTCTTCTGAAATTAATAAATTTTTGTAAAATTTACCGTCTTCGAATACCACATTGTGCCACCACAACTTTTTGTTGAATAATTTTTTTTATATTAGTTCTCGATTTAATGGAATATTTGAATTATTCCCCGCTAGGTCGGAAAAGTTCGAAATAGTTCAATATTTTTGAAAAAACTTATTGTGTTTCAAGTATATTACCACTAGGGGTGTGCAAAATCGAATATTTTTTTCCGAGTCGAATAGTTCGAATATTTTTTACGAATACCGAATAGTCGAATAACGAATATTTTTTTAAAATACAACGGGGGTCCGTCGGAGGTCGATACTCCCTTCGAAAATTAGAAGAAACTTGAAGTCGACGACAAAGCGTTTTTTTTTTACTGGTTAAATTCATTAAAATCGCTAATTGTTTTTGTGGCCGCGATCCTAAAGTTCGTAATCTGTATTCCCGCCCGATTCATTTTTTTGAAAGTATTAATTCTTGCGGGTCGGCGGACATCGAAGGAACAACTTATGTGCTTATTCTCTCTGAATCACAATTTTTTTTGGCATATGCCTGTATTGTTTTACAATCTACGAGGACGACGATAACTTGTTTTTCTTGTGCGAAACTAAGAGTTCAGTGTGCGAAACAAGTTAGAATACTATATTATAAAAATCGGTGAAGAGAAGCTGAGAATAAATGATAAAGAGGTGAATCCGCAACCCAATTTTTTGATCGAAAAGCGGCATTATAAAATATCAAAACTAAATTCTAAAACGGAAGATTTCACCATAAGTTTTGTTTTAGCAGTCTCGTAGCAGATTGAAAACGCTTTTTAGACATTGTAAATTTGTGGTATGTTAGGATTTCTATAAAATTTGTACAACCATACAATATAGTAACTGAAATCGAAACACAGTAAATACTTACTTTTCTCCCAATACTTCTTTTTCTCGGTATGTGACGATATTATATAAGATAATTAATGCAAAATATATCAACATTTTTTTTTTCCAATATTGGAAATTACAATCGTTCGTATTTTGTCCCTATCTTTAAAATAATTTTGAGTGCCGACAAAAACAAATGCACTGCACTGCACTGCGATCCTACATATAGATAATGTCACATTTGAAAATACGCTCGTTGTCATATTTCGACGCTACTGCTGTCAAATTTTATTAATGATGTTATTACTTCTTTTGACAGTCACAAAATTAGCAAAGTCATTATTTTAATAAGTAATAGAATGGCTCGCGGAGCCCCTAAGTTTCTCTCACCGAGCATTTTGAGAACCTCTGCACTAATAGACCAAGGGAGAAATTTTCGTCAGAGTGTTTGAAGTATCGAAGACGCAAAATTTCGCAAGTTCAATAGAAATTTTGAAATTTTAGCGTAAAAATTTTTTTTTTAGATGAGTGCGTTTTACATATATTGCTGAATAGAGCTCTATCACACGCTAATAAAAAGCCATGAGTGAAGCTTTAGGGCCTAATGGTTGACAAAAAAAATAACCCATGTAAAATGGCACCAGACCGACCGGTTGGGGAGGGTTAAAACACCATTAATATTATTTAAAGTTGGAATAGGCATAATAATACTGAATATTACGACTTCTAACATGTCTAACTTCGTTACAAGCACAGTCCTTGTCATTCTGTATACCATATCATATACCCTTTTTTTATTTTTCTTGAAAATCGTTTTCACCACAAATGGTAAGTCACGCGAAGTACCATACTATGTATGTGGATCTGACAGAGGGTAGTAATGTAGTTGTTAACCCCCTTGTCTGTTAATACCCTTATTGATATTCTGTTGAGCGTTGGAAGTTGAATTGTATTTCAAATAACAATAACATATAAGTGTATTAATATAACCTTAAATCTCACACCCAGTGGTACATTCAACCATATGGTTCGTGTCCTAAAATTAAATTTCCTATAGTTTACTATAGCCGTAAATACCTTATAACTAGTATAGACCTTCATTGGTAGTGTTTCTAGAATCCATGCTTTCATGTCCATAAGTTTTCAAATCTAGAAATATATTCCCTATTTCTTCATAGTTTATTTCGAGTATTAATATGTTATGTTCTTATAATGAATGTATAATATCTACAATCCCTGTGGGTAATGTAACTTGGTAATGTAATGTAACCGTTTGAAAACCACTGTACTAGTAAATAATTGACTTGTCAATATTTATATGATATACAATATATTGCACTGACAGATCATTCAAATTAAGTACAAATTGTAATTTTTGTGGAAATCAGCAAATAATTTTAGAATAAACGAAAAATTATTAATTTATTTTTTTATACTTGTATATACTAGTATAAGCTTAGCTTCTCTGTGTCCCTGTTATGTACAATTCCAAAGATTGATAATGATATAGTTCGAACAACTATATCTCTTCTCTGTATTTCTGTCAAATAGCATCTTCTGTGATTCAAATAACTTGATAGTGTCTTAGGTCAACGAAATTTTGTTTCATCTAAAGTTAGATAGACTCGGTATACACATGATCATGACATTAAATTGATTTTTTTTTATGTATTTTATTATAATGTTAATTTTGCTTCACCTCTACCAAACAGCATTTTTTGTAATCTATAAATCCAATACTTGATAATGAAACTATATATTTATTTTCAGTTTTCTAAAACACTACTTGAAAGAGTCATTGTATCAAAGGGAATCGACATTGTTAATAGTCTGGTGCATCACGGAGTGAGATGGAAGCCTATATAGTCTAAAGAGTAAAGAGCAAGTATGTAATCTTCTAAATCTTTCAATTCATATTTTGTCAGGTATAAACTGATATATATATCATGTTAAATCCCACTAGTCAGGAAGAGCTGCAAATATTTGAATTATCCTCACAAGATATCCAAAATATTTCGCCCAATTTTATTGATATAATTTCGTGAAGTCATGTAATGCAATTGTTTCCACACGCTAGTTCATGGGCAGGTGTTCAGTTTTTTTTCGGTATGCTATAAATTTTGTTGCTTTGTTAATTTCGTATACCTAATTTCTGAAAATACGCGGTTTAGGTTTCTTATCGGGCGTTCAGCTATCGATGGCAAGTATCGAAGTATGTAAGTGCCAGTCGCCAGCCATGAAGGGTTATAATACTGTCAATGGGGCATTTGCGGTTGCATTCAATTTGTCGGGCCTCATTTTATAGTATTTGTTATATTCATATTTTATGGGTTTAGTTTCTTCGCCATAGCGTTTTGTTAGTTTTTCAATATTCTTAGAACAGTAGTTTCAACCAGGGTTCAATCGAGTTTTTGGTGTTCGTTGGAGCTGTTCCAGGGTTTCGACGAGGGTCCTTTAAATTAAAACAGTTTTTTATTATGGCACTTTTCTATCACATCGTTCTCGAATTATGCAAATTTAATTAGAGTTCATCTCAGATATTTAAACTTACACGTTCAACAACTAATAAATTAGCTTTGCTATTTGTATAGTGTGCGCAGTTGTACGTTTTAGTGAACCCGTTATCTCCACGGATGTCGCGCGCTTGGGTGTTTGTGTTTATATGATAGTGCTCTTAGATGCTTTTTGCTTACGACTTTGAAACATCTTGGACTGTCATGAAAAACCTAGGATTTTCAAGATGAATCTTCTCATTTTCCATAACCTTGCACGAAATTAGGCTTCCCCTTTATAAAGTTAGGATTGGGCTCCTAATTTCAACTGTTCGGTACAATGTGGTTTGGCGAGAGCTTTCAGGATAGCGCATGGTTTCGACAGGCTCGGAAAGGTTAAGGTTAACTAGAATTTGAAAAATCACACAACGTTACGTAGTATTATTTTTTTCGATGTTGCCATAGAGTAAGAACAGACAGGTACAAATAGATTTGCTGAAATATATATCCAATTCATATCGAATTATATTTTCTGTCATTTATAAACCCAAAACTTGACATAGTTCATATAGTTCACATAATGACATAGTTCGAAAAATTACTGGTACATTCAAATTTTAACCCCCAAGTCGAAATTAGATCGAAATAATTAAATATTCTTCTGAAATTAATAAATTTTTGTAAAATTTACCGTCTTCGAATACCACATTGTGCCACCACAACTTTTTGTTGAATAAGTTTTTTATATTAGTGCTCGATTTAATGGAATATTTAAATTATTCCCCGCTAGGTCGGAAAAGTTCGAAATAGTTCAATATTTTTGAAAAAACTTATTGTGTTTCAAGTATATTACCACTAGGGGTGTGCAAAATCGAATATTTTTTTCCGAGTCGAATAGTTCGAATATTTTTTACGAATACCGAATAGTCGAATAACGAATATTTTTTTAAAATACAACGGGGGTCCGTCGGAGGTCGATACTCCCTTCGAAAATTAGAAGAAACTTGAAGTCGACGACATAGCGTTTTTTTTTTACTGGTAAAATTTATTAAAATCGCTAATTGTTTTTGTGGCCGCGATCCTAAAGTTCGTAATCTGTATTCCCGCCCGATTCATTTTTTCGAAAGTATTAATTCTTGCGGGTCGGCGGACATCGAAGGAACAACTTATGTGCTTATTCTCTCTGAATCACAATTTTTTTTTGGCATATGCCTGTATTGTTTTACAATCTACGAGGACGACGATAACTTGTTTTTCTTGTGCGAAACTAAGAGTTCAGTGTGCGAAACAAGTTAGAATACTATATTATAAAAATCGGTGAAGAGAAGCTGAGAATAAATGATAAAGAGGTGAATCCGCAACCCAATTTTTTGATCGAAAAGCGGCATTATAAAATATCAAAACTAAATTCTAAAACGGAAGATTTCACCATAAGTTTTGTTTTAGCAGTCTCGTAGCAGATTGAAAACGCTTTTTAGACATTGTAAATTTGTGTTATGTTAGGATTTCTATAAAATTTGTACAACCATACAATATAGTAACTGAAATCGAAACACAGTAAATACTTACTTTTCTCCCAATACTTCTTTTTCTCGGTATGTGACGATATTATATAAGATAATTAATGCAAAATATATCAACATTTTTTTTTTCCAATATTGGAAATTACAATCGTTCGTATTTTGTCCCTATCTTTAAAATAATTTTGAGTGCCGAAAAAACAAATGCACTGCACTGCACTGCGATCCTACATATAGATAATGTCACATTTGAAAATACGCTCGTTGTCATATTTCGACGCTACTGCTGTCAAATTTTATTAATGATGTTATTACTTCTTTTGACAGTCACAAAATTAGCAAAGTCATTATTTTAATAAGTAATCGAATGGCTCGCGGAGCCCCTAAGTTTCTCTCACCGAGCATTTTGAGAACCTCTGCACTAATAGACCAAGGGAGAAATTTTCGTCAGAGTGTTTGAAGTATCGAAGACGCAAAATTTCGCAAGTTCAATAGAAATTTTGAAATTTTAGCGTAAAAATTTTTTTTTAGATGAGTGCGTTTTACATATATTGCTGAATAGAGCTCTATCACACGCTAATAAAAAGCCATGAGTGAAGCTTTAGGGCCTAATGGTTGACAAAAAAAATAACCCATGTAAAATGGCACCAGACCGACCGGTTGGGGAGGGTTAAAACACCATTAATATTATTTAAAGTTGGAATAGGCATAATAATACTGAATATTACGACTTCTAACATGTCTAACTTCGTTACAAGCACAGTCCTTGTCATTCTGTATACCATATCATATACCCTTTTTTTATTTTTCTTGAAAATCGTTTTCACCACAAATGGTAAGTCACGCGAAGTACCATACTATGTATGTGGATCTGACAGAGGGTAGTAATGTAGTTGTTAACCCCCTTGTCTGTTAATACCCTTATTGATATTCTGTTGAGCGTTGGAAGTTGAATTGTATTTCAAATAACAATAACATATAAGTGTATTAATATAACCTTAAATCTCACACCCAGTGGTACATTCAACCATATGGTTCGTGTCCTAAAATTAAATTTCCTATAGTTTACTATAGCCGTAAATACCTTATAACTAGTATAGACCTTCATTGGTAGTGTTTCTAGAATCCATGCTTTCATGTCCATAAGTTTTCAAATCTAGAAATATATTCCCTATTTCTTCATAGTTTATTTCGAGTATTAATATGTTATGTTCTTATAATGAATGTATAATATCTACAATCCCTGTGGGTAATGTAACTTGGTAATGTAATGTAACCGTTTGAAAACCACTGTACTAGTAAATAATTGACTTGTCAATATTTATATGATATACAATATATTGCACTGACAGATCATTCAAATTAAGTACAAATTGTAATTTTTGTGGAAATCAGCAAATAATTTTAGAATAAACGAAAAATTATTAATTTATTTTTTATACTTGTATATACTAGTATAAGCTTAGCTTCTCTGTGTCCCTGTTATGTACAATTCCAAAGATTGATAATGATATAGTTCGAACAACTTTATCTCTTCTCTGTATTTCTGTCAAATAGCATCTTCTGTGATTCAAATAACTTGATAGTGTCTTAGGTCAACGAAATTTTGTTTCATCTAAAGTTAGATAGACTCGGTATACACATGATCATGACATTAAATTGATTTTTTTTTATGTATTTTATTATAATGTTAATTTTGCTTCACCTCTACCAAACAGCATTTTTTGTAATCTATAAATCCAATACTTGATAATGAAACTATATATTTATTTTCAGTTTTCTAAAACACTACTTGAAAGAGTCATTGTATCAAAGGGAATCGACATTGTTAATAGTCTGGTGCATCACGGAGTGAGATGGAAGCCTATATAGTCTAAAGAGTAAAGAGCAAGTATGTAATCTTCTAAATCTTTCAATTCATATTTTGTCAGGTATAAACTGATATATATATCATGTTAAATCCCACTAGTCAGGAAGAGCTGCAAATATTTGAATTATCCTCACAAGATATCCAAAATATTTCGCCCAATTTTATTGATATAATTTCGTGAAGTCATGTAATGCAATTGTTTCCACACGCTAGTTCATGGGCAGGTGTTCAGTTTTTTTTTTATGCTATAAATTTTGTTGCTTTGTTAATTTCGTATACCTAATTTCTGAAAATACGCGGTTTAGGTTTCTTATCGGGCGTTCAGCTATCGATGGCAAGTATCGAAGTATGTAAGTGCCAGTCGCCAGCCATGAAGGGTTATAATACTGTCAATGGGGCATTTGCGGTTGCATTCAATTTGTCGGGCCTCATTTTATAGTATTTGTTATATTCATATTTTATGGGTTTAGTTTCTTCGCCATAGCGTTTTGTTAGTTTTTCAATATTCTTAGAACAGTAGTTTCAACCAGGGTTCAATCGAGTTTTTGGTGTTCGTTGGAGCTGTTCCAGGGTTTCGACGAGGGTCCTTTAAATTAAAACAGTTTTTTATTATGGCACTTTTCTATCACATCGTTCTCGAATTATGCAAATTTAATTAGAGTTCATCTCAGATATTTAAACTTACACGTTCAACAACTAATAAATTAGCTTTGCTATTTGTATAGTGTGCGCAGTTGTACGTTTTAGTGAACCCGTTATCTCCACGGATGTCGCGCGCTTGGGTGTTTGTGTTTATATGATAGTGCTCTTAGATGCTTTTTGCTTACGACTTTGAAACATCTTGGACTGTCATGAAAAACCTAGGATTTTCAAGATGAATCTTCTCATTTTCCATAACCTTGCACGAAATTAGGCTTCCCCTTTATAAAGTTAGGATTGGGCTCCTAATTTCAACTGTTCGGTACAATGTGGTTTGGCGAGAGCTTTCAGGATAGCGCATGGTTTCGACAGGCTCGGAAAGGTTAAGGTTAACTAGAATTTGAAAAATCACACAACGTTACGTAGTATTATTTTTTTCGATGTTGCCATTGCGAGAGTAAGAACAGACAGGCACAAATAGATTTGCTGAAATATATATCCAATTCATATCGAATTATATTTTCTGTTATTTATAAATCCAAAACTTGACATAGTTCATATAGTTCACATAATGACATAGTTCGAAAAATTACTGGTACATTCAAATTTTCTCCCCCAAGTCGAAATTAAATCGAAATAATTAAATATTCTTCTGAAATTAATAAATTTTTGTAAAATTTACCGTCTTCGAATACCACATTGTGCCACCACAACTTTTTGTTGAATAATTTTTTTTAAATTAGTTCTCGATTTAATGGAATATTTGAATTATTCCCCGCTAGGTCGGAAAAGTTCGAAATAGTTCAATATTTTTGAAAAAACTTATTGTGTTTCAAGTATATTACCACTAGGGGTGTGCAAAATCGAATATTTTTTTCCGAGTCGAATAGTTCGAATATTTTTTACGAATACCGAATAGTCGAATAACGAATATTTTTTTAAAATACAACGGGGGTCCGTCGGAGGTCGATACTCCCTTCGAAAATTAGAAGAAACTTGAAGTCGACGACATAGCGTTTTTTTTTTACTGGTAAAATTTATTAAAATCGCTAATTGTTTTTGTGGCCGCGATCCTAAAGTTCGTAATCTGTATTCCCGCCCGATTCATTTTTTCGAAAGTATTAATTCTTGCGGGTCGGCGGACATCGAAGGAACAACTTATGTGCTTATTCTCTCTGAATCACAATTTTTTTTGGCATATGCCTGTATTGTTTTACAATCTACGAGGACGACGATAACTTGTTTTTCTTGTGCGAAACTAAGAGTTCAGTGTGCGAAACAAGTTAGAATACTATATTATAAAAATCGGTGAAGAGAAGCTGAGAATAAATGATAAAGAGGTGAATCCGCAACCCAATTTTTTGATCGAAAAGCGGCATTATAAAATATCAAAACTAAATTCTAAAACGGAAGATTTCACCATAAGTTTTGTTTTAGCAGTCTCGTAGCAGATTGAAAACGCTTTTTAGACATTGTAAATTTGTGTTATGTTAGGATTTCTATAAAATTTGTACAACCATACAATATAGTAACTGAAATCGAAACACAGTAAATACTTACTTTTCTCCCAATACTTCTTTTTCTCGGTATGTGACGATATTATATAAGATAATTAATGCAAAATATATCAACATTTTTTTTTTCCAATATTGGAAATTACAATCGTTCGTATTTTGTCCCTATCTTTAAAATAATTTTGAGTGCCGAAAAAACAAATGCACTGCACTGCACTGCGATCCTACATATAGATAATGTCACATTTGAAAATACGCTCGTTGTCATATTTCGACGCTACTGCTGTCAAATTTTATTAATGATGTTATTACTTCTTTTGACAGTCACAAAATTAGCAAAGTCATTATTTTAATAAGTAATCGAATGGCTCGCGGAGCCCCTAAGTTTCTCTCACCGAGCATTTTGAGAACCTCTGCACTAATAGACCAAGGGAGAAATTTTCGTCAGAGTGTTTGAAGTATCGTTGACTCGTTGTACATGTTTATTAGTAGCTGAGTTTTAGGCATAATATTGACAATTTTAGCATATCTTTGAAAATTAGCTGTTTGCATCTACACTCCAGCTTACCATATTGAAAAACCTTGTTTTTGTCATATTACCGCCCAATAGTCGGGTTAAAAATTGCATTACTTAGTTCCAAATTTTGTCAGGTTTTTGTCATTCCCGAGAAGGAACTTTTTCCGTTGTTTGCAGTAATGCTGTTAGTTTAGGCACCAATGCGCGCTCATAATTTCATATGGCAGTCTTTTAGAACCCGACCCGTGTTCATTTCTTCGTCGGCATGAAACTTAATATTCTACCCAAAAAAACTGTAATTTAGCATTAAAAAGGTATCAGCAATTATTCACTAGGGCAATGGTTTTCAAACGGTGGGGCGCGCCTCGCAAAATGGGCGTAGACAATTTTTGAGGGGGGCATGTAGATAAACAAATCTATTTTTTGTTTGGTGGACCTAATCGTGCATTTTTTGGATATTTACATTCCATCCTCGTATTTTCAAAGTATTTTTGAATGAAACATACCATTTGTTATTTGTAGCTTATTGCTAGCTAGGTATTTTTGAAGTGTGGCGAGCATTCTCATAACAAGAGTTTTACATTGTAATCACCTCAACTCGTAAAAATATTTCCATAGCTTTACTATACTTATGGAATGTTTTTTTCCTTCTTGAGATATAAGTACCAGTTATTGATTTCTCCTTGAACCCTTCCTACAAACGTCTAGCTGACTGCTAGAACAGCATTGTATTATTAGGAGAAATTAATTCTAAAACATGACAACTCATTTTTATGTATGATGAAATAAATTGAGTACACACTTGAATTTTGCGGATCAAGGATGTCTATATATCCTGTGTCATATTTATACGTATACTGCCTTCTTCATTGATAGCATAGTCATTATTATCCTGCATTGGATTCATTGATTTAATTTTATGAGCCAATCTGGCTAATCTCATTTGTAATTTGAAATTACCATGGTCTATGACAGGGCCACTCAACTATTTTTGTCGAAGATCCGCATACAAAACTTAAAAAATATTTGGGTCCGGTCTTTCCAGAAATTATATTCCTCATCCTTAAACACGCACTTCCTCGGCCGACTAATGATTATTAGCTAATCAAGATTGTTTGTTATGGCGTTATATTTCTTTTCGTATATATTTAAATCTATAAAAGTGATTTTATAAAAGGAAACTTCAAAAGTGGGGCTAATGATTCAAAATAAAGAATTAGGCGCGGTCCGAATCGAATACCCAAAAAGTCCGGATTCGGACCGCGGTCCGCCAGTTTAGTAGCCCTGGTCTATGACCATGGTACTAACCAGACTGTGCCATTCGTTTTCCAAGCCAGAATTACATTAGCTTATTATAATAACGATGTTATATAAGTACGTCCAACCGAGTGTATCAATGTGAAGTCTATACCATTTGGCACTGGTTAACCACGGTATGCAAGCCCCAAACTAAAATATCGCTTCTAGTGGCGATACTGTAACGCAGTGGTTCTCAAATTTCTTCGTATTGTGGCGGCCTCCAAAAAATATGCTCAAGTTGCGACACCTCGTGAAAACCGCCTTAATACCTTTCAATAAAGGACCTTCTTGCAATGAGTTTTCAAAGTCAGTGAAATTGCATTTAACCACTTTTTACAATTGTCTCTGAACCTTGGTAAGAATTGTGAGAGCCGCACGCATTCCCCTCAACATTTATTCGAGATCGATATTGTGTGTATTACGGGCATGGTCGAAAGACCTGCTTCACATGAATACGAAGTTCCAAATGGGACCACAGTGCACAACGCATTTTTTACCAAGGAAGGATAATCCTTATTGAAGGAATTCCAATAACTCGTTACATTTTCAGAATTAAAATTTCTTTTTAAAACAATTCCGTTCAAAAACAGCGAAGAAAAGCAGCAATGTATTGTTGATGCAAGATTTCGGCCAGTGAAATATGTTATCTAATAAGCCCAAACGGCATTTAGTAACATTGCGTTCCCAGTTGCAACAAAAACCACGGAGCTTTTCTACTTGAACGATCCAAAGTCAATCAAGCCTTTGTCATACTTGCGTTTTTGGACTTCTTGTATAGTATCGTTTCCACGCTTGTTATATTACTTTCCTATGCGCCCAAAAGAGATTCCGCAAAAAAGAAAAAAAAAATTCACGACGCCCAATGCACTTTGAGAACCACTGCTGTAACGTATCAGTATAGCCGTAAATCCTATTGGTATAGTCCGTTCATGTTCATAATTGTCTGCATTTAGAAATACATTTCCTATTGCTATATCGTTGATTGCTGGTACTAATATGTTAGGTTATTATGTGTATGCATCTATATAATGGATAAAATAGAATAAATACACGGGTTTTACGGATACAACCATGTCTATATTTCTTATGTTTTGTTTATACAGGTATTACGTTATTGATAAAATGGTCCTTATTATTCTGTGTAGAATTTACTTGTTTAATCTTATGAGCAAAACTTTACCGCAAAATAGTAAGATACTATAAAAAAGAACCGACTAAGCTCAGAAATGTAACTGTAAATTATCATGGTTTCCCAAACTTTTTAGTCGCAGTAATATATACAGTAAAATATACAACTTCATTCATAAATCATAGTTTATAGTGTTTTCAATGAGATATATTATCTCAGTGATCTTCCAGAGATATTTTTTTTAATTTTTGTGACATTTTCGTCAGCCACAATCTCAAATCACCTCGTTTACTAATCGACTGGCAATTTCTTTGTTTGGATAGCACTTGTTGGATAGCATAGTAAATGAAGGAATCCAGGTTTCTGCCTTCTGCCTTTTTTGCATGGTTTGTCAAATTATGAGAGATTTTCATTAAAAAGATGCATCTTTATAAAAATCACGCATTGATGCATCTTTATAAAAATCAGGCATTGATGCATCTCTTGAATATAACATATGAATTTTATTTCCTTATTTCATTGCATTTCAAGAAGCATTGTAAAGGAGCATTCAAATATTGAACCCCTGCACAGTGGACTCAGCATCAACTTTTTTGCGTGCTATCATTCGTCTAATTATATTTAAATTGTAGGCTCGTTAAACGATTAACTGGTTTATACCACCTGGTAGTAAACAGTTAAAAAGCATGCCATTCATGTTCCGATCCAGAATCGCAATAAATTTTCAATACTGATAATATTGGAGTGAGTCTAATCAAGTACATTAATATAACCGTTGATCTTACTACCTTCGGTGCTGGTTAACCATGCACTTCGTGTCCCAAACTGAAATTTTCAAAAAATGTAATATATAAATTAGGCCAATTGCACCAATGTAGACGTAAATCCCCTACGCCCGACTTATACTTCCCTTGGTAGTCCCAGTAACCAATAAACCATACGTTTCATGTTGATATGTGTTCGAAGCTGGCAATCCTTGTTACTCCCAGTAACCATACAATTCAGGTTAATAAGAGTTCAATGCTAGCAATCCTTGGTAATCCAAGTAACCATACGATTCATATTGATAAGTGTTCTAAGCTGGCAATCCTTGGTAATCCAAGTAACCATACGACTCATACTGATAAGTGTTCGAAGCTGGCAATCCTTGGTAGTCCAAGTAACCATACGGTTCATATTGATAAGTGTTCGAAGCTGGCAATCCTTGGTAGTCCAAGTAATCATACGGTTCATATTGATAAGTGTTCAAAGCTGGCGATTCTTGTTAGTCCAAGTAACCATACGGTTCATATCGATAAGTGTTCGAAGCTGGCAATTCTTGTTAGTCCAAGTAACCATACGGTTCATATTGATAAGTGTTCAAAGGTGGCAATTCTTGTTAGTCCAAGTAACCATACGATTCATATCGATAAGTGTTCAAAGCTGACAATTTTTGTTAGTCCAAGTAAACATACGGTTCCTATTGATAAGTGTTCAAAGCTGGCAATTCTTGTTAGTCCAAGTAACCATACGGTTCATATTGATAAGTGTTCAAAGCTGGCAATTCTTGTTAGTCCAAGTAACCATACGGTTCCTATTGATAAGTGTTCAAAGCTGGCAATTCCTGTTAGTCCAAGTAACCATACGGTTCCTATTGATAAGTGTTCAAAGCTGGCAATTCTTGTTAGTCCAAGTAACCATACGGTTCCTATTGATAAGTGTTCAAAGCTGGCAATTCTTGTTAGTCCAAGTAACCATACGGTTCATATTGATAAGTGTTCAAAGCTGGCAATTACTGTTAGTCCAAGTATCCATACAGTTCATATTGATAAGTGTTCAAAGCTGGCAATTCTTGTTAGTCTAAGTAACCCCATACGATTCATATTGATAAGTGTTCGAAGCTGGCAAACCTCGGTAGTCCGAGTAACCATACGGTTCGTATTGATAAGTGTTAGAAGCAGGTAATCCTTTGTAGTCACTGTAATCATATGTTTCATGTTGATAAGTGTTCGAAGATGGCAATATTCCTAATGCGCTGTTATTAGGTGCGAGAGTTCATATCTTATATTCATGCGTGTATGTATGTATGACGCTGTATTAAAGTCAATGTTCTATAGTAGAGTCGTATATTTCGCGAAAAAGAAACTCCAGCCCGGACGCAAAGTGCGTATCGTAAACAATAACATTAACTCCTTTATAATGACCCATTATTGGTTTAGCATGTATTTTCAGTCATACATATCATCCCTGCCGCTGTGTTGTTTTGATAAATATGATTTCGACTGCACCATACTTGGCGCCATATCGAGATTTTTTTAAACGTGAAAAAAACGTAAATTAATGGTAATTTTCACGGCGTAACAGCGCGTATTAGAATGTTTGCGGCTTTTCTACGCGCATTTCCGTCGGAAAAAAGTAAAATTTTTGCATCGAGGGGGCGTGTGCACTAATAATTAGGAGATGTGGCGTCATCAAAAATCGTCAATTAGCCTTGAACCTAGAAAATTCTGTAAATACAATCGTGAATATTAGAGTAACCATTCTTGCTATA